GCTTCCACCCTGGTTCAGTCCGCACCTCCTGGTCCTTCCCCTCCCATTGTTCATTCTGGTCCCCCTCCCCTGCTTTCGGCCCCGAAGCGTCTGAGGGTTTCAGACCCGGGGCAAGGGTTAGTTGGTCTTGAGACTCGGGCAGCCTCAGGGGATGCCCATTCCGGTGTGGCGATGGAGGCATTCGAGTCTCCTCCCCCGGCCGAATCCTCTGGGTCTGACCAGTGGGCCTCATTCTATCCTGCTTCTACGGCTGTGCCAGCCTTGTCTAGTGGGGTCGGTGCTTGGGGGGAGGACTCGGTCCCAGGTCCTGCGGAGGAGGATCCTGGGGCTGGGGAGGGGCTGACTTGGGGGCCTTAGCCCCGTTGGACCCCCTGCCTGGGTTTTTCTGCCCTCTGAGCGTGGCTTACTGTTACAAGGCGTAGGGGTTTTCTTTTTCCCCCTCTGCGTACGAGTTGGATTTGGTGTCTGCCCCTCCCCTGGTTCGGTTCCGTGTTACCCCGGGCGCTTCGGTTCTGTCTTTCCGGAGATTTTTGGCTTATCGCATCCAACCTGCTGCGGTGCGGGCGGCCTTTGTGACGAACCTCCTGCGTGACCTGGATTATGCCTCGGCAATGGATCCCTCGGCTTTCAAGTTTGGAACTTCGTTCCCTTTCTGGCTCCATTACGAAGTTCCGGAGTCGTCCTGGCAGGCGGACTGTCCTGTTTTTACCTTGGAGGCTTGGCACTTCTCCTGCTGTCCCTGCACGCTTGAGTGGCGGGAAGCTTCGACGGTGCTTCAGGTTTTCCTGGGGGGCGACCTTGAACACCTCAATGAGTGCTTGTTTGCTCCTGCCTTTTCCCGGGATATTATTGTTGTTCAGCTCCATGTGCAGGTTCCTTCCCTTTCAGCAGCGCAGGTGGCAGAGGATTTGCGCACTCGAGGCCTTTTGGTTGCGGCCTTGCGCTTCTTTTTCCTCCTGGAGCTGTCTTCCAACTGGCTCTCGGAGGATGTGGGGGCGCTTGGGGATGTTCCTGGGTCTGGCGCCTTGGCCTTGGCGGCTCGCTCGTCGGCTGCCTTGCTGAAGCTTTTCACGCCGATCTTGCGGGATGTGGTGGCTCTGTTTTATACCTCCCGGCTCGCGTGTTGGCAGACGGTGCTTGCCTCCTCTGTGGAATCCGTTTGGGCCTTGGCTCTTAGGATGTCTTCCCCTTTTTGCCCTCTCTTGTTTGAGGCTTCAACCGTTGTGCAGTATATTCAGGCTGCTTCGGTTTCTTGCCGTCCTGTGTTGGACTTGCTGGTTCTCTGGGGGTCCCGTGATGGGCCTTCCCGGAAGGGTCGTGCCAAGGCTCGGGGTTCCTCTTATCGTGGTAGGCCACTGGTGTCAGGTTCTGGTTTGGACCCGCCTTCATCTGGTTGGCGCGGTGTTCGCTCTGTGTGAGGTTCTGGGTCTCATAAGGGGCGTCGGCCCTTTCGCTGTTCGCCCCATTGACAGGGCGATGGGGGAAGGCTTGCGCTGTTCCCTCATGCCTGGTCCCATGATTTGTGGGCATTTCAGGTCGTTTCGCATGGCCTCTGGTGGCATTGAGTGGCCCCTTCCCCTGCGGGGGGTTCAGGGCTGGAGGGGCAGGCTTCTTCCCCTACGTTCCGTCAGGTCATCTTGGAGTGGGTTCGCTTGGGCGTGGTCGAAACGACGACGTCCCTCAGATGGGTTTCCCGTCTATTTCCAGTCCCGTGCTCGGACCTGCAGTTCATTCTGGACTTGTCCCGTCTGAACCCCTGGGTTCATTGACCCTCCTTTCAGATGACCACGCTGTCCCAAGTTCGGCACCTGTTGGAGCTGGGCGCTTGGATGGTGTCCCTGGACCTCCGGAACGCTTATTGGCACGTCCCGATTCATCCGGGATTCAGGGACTGGCCCGGTTTTGTTGTGGGGCTTCGTACTTACTGCTTTCGTTGCCTTCCGTTCGGTTTGAACCTGGCACCTCGCCTTTTCACACGCTTCACGCGGGTCGTGGTGACCCGTCTGTGTCTGTTAGGTGTTCGGGTGTTGGCCTACCTCGATGACTGGCTGGTTTGGGCTCCCAGCCAGTCCGCTTGTCTGCTAGCCAGGGATCTGGTTCTTTCTCAGCTCGCCGGGTTCAGGTTCTTGGTGAACTGGAGGAAGTCCCATCTGGTTCCCTCCCAGGTTTGGACCTGGCTGGGCCTTGTGTGGGACTCTTGGACCGCTTCCTTGTCTCTTCCTCCGGAGTCTCTTCTGTGGTTGCGGTCCCACTTGTGCCTGTTTCTGGGGGCTGCCAGGTCACCCGGCGGTTTCTTGAGGGTCTGTGCGGGAGCTTGAACTTTGCGATGCTGGTCTACCCGCCGGGTCGGGTTTGGCTTCGTCGGCTGTTCTGGTTCCTTCGGGGACATCCCTTCCGCCCCTCTCTCGCGATCGCTGGGTTCGGATCCCGGAGGCTTTGTGTCATTTGCTGTGTCACCGGCTTCCTCTTCGGGTTTTTCGGAGTTCAGTGCCTTGGCGCCTACCCGAGCCCTCGCTCGATGTGTTCACGGACGCGTCGTCTCTCGGCTGGGGCTTTGTGAACAGTGCTCACCAGGCCGGCCAGGGATGGTGGGGTCCGTCTTTCCGTCGAGCCCACAGCACTGTGCGGGAGTTCATGGCGGTGTGGTTTGCTCTTCGGAGGATTCGAGTCGCCCATGGGTCGACGATCTGGCTTCATCTGGACTGCTCCCGGTGATTCATTGTCTGAACCGAAGGGGGGGGGGTTAATGCGATCCTTGGCTCTTTGGTGCTGGTCGCTTCGGGTGACTCGTCTGCTGAGTTCTCGGGGTTTGGCTCTCCTGGCAGTTCACATGCGGGGAGTGTCCAATGTCTTGGCTGACGGCCTGTTTCGTTTCATTTCCCTCTCCACGGAATGGATGGTTGACGCCAACTCCTTCCGTTGGCTTTGCCAGACGTTCGGACGCCCCAAGGTGGACCTCTTCGCGTCTGCTTGGTCGCGGCGCCTTCCCCTGTATGTTGGCAGTTTCCCAAGTGCGAGGCCATCGGGGTTGACGCCTTTTGGTAGGACTAGTCGAGGTGGGGGTTTCTGTACCTCTTTCCCCCGATTCATCTGTTGCTCCAGGTCCTGACTCACTTAGAGACTTACCAGGGGAGAGGTGTCCTCATCGCCCCTTGGTGGCCGGCCCAGCCGTGGTTTCAAGCGCTGCTTTCTCGGTGTCCGAACCCGGAGGTTTTTCCGCGGCTCCGCCTCTTCCATCAAATCGGACTGGTACGTCACATGGATGGTTCGATCTTCTTCTCGAGTCTTCGCATATGGTATTTTTTACTCAAGTTTATTGTCATCTCTATGGTGATCAGGTGGCTTCCTTATTAGTGTTCCACCTGCAGGCTGCATCTCGGCGGCAGTATGAAGTTTTCTGGCAGTCCTTCTGGTTCTTCGTACGTCTTCGTCGTTGTACTTTGCTTTCTGTTAAGGTGGTGTTGTCCTTTCTCTCTTGGTTGTTCCAGGACCGTCCTCTTATGCCTAATACTTTCGCCTCGTATCGTGTGGCACTGGTGGATCCGCTTCAGCTTGCTTCGGGTATTGATGTCACATCTGCGCCGTTTCGCAAGCTGTCTCGGGCATTGTTTCACCTCCGGCCTGCTCATGCGCCGCCTGAGCCATCCTGGTCATTGGACAGAGTTCTCTCTTTTCTTTCTTCTCCTCGTTTTGTTGTGGCCCCTTCGGTTCCGGATTGTTTTTAGAAGGCTCTTTTCCTGTTGGCATTGGCCTCTGTTGGTCGAGGTGGTTGAGCTTCATGCTCTCCTCTGGCGCAGAGGTTTCTGCTCCTTCAGTCGGGGTGATCGGTTTGTTCGTCTGCAGCCTTCTCCTTCTTTTCTGGCGGAGAATGAGACTGCTGCATTCCAGAGGGTTCCCTGAGTTCTTGATGCTTGGTTGGTTTGGCCGGCGGTGTATCATATTTTGTGTCCAGTTGCGGCTCTCTGCCGTTATTTGAGTGCCACGGCTTCTGTGTCCATGGATGCACTTTGGGTTGATCCGGTTTCCCTTCTTCCCTGTTCAAGGGTGCGGGTCTCCCAGGTCGTCCTCAGGGTTATTAAGGTTAGCCAGCCTGCGGTCTATCCCTGTGCCCATGACGTCTGCAAGTTCTTGGTTCTTGCCGCCGTCTTTTGCAATACAGCCTATATTCCTGGGCTGACATTCGGGCGCAGGGATTTTGGCGGTCGAACAGGGTCCTGGCTGCTCGTTACCTTGTAAACGTTCCTGGGCCCGGTCAGGCCTGTATCGCTTTGGGTCGGCAGATGCAGCCAGTTGTCTCGACTTCGGGTTGAGGAGTGAACAGCAACTGCCTCCCGGGTAAGTCCCTATTCTTATTCCTCTGTGGGTAGTTAGCTCCAGGGAGCCGTAGGGGCTCCCCCCAGAAAACCAGCATTGAATGTAATGAAACGCCACTTTTTGGGTGAGTCCCGGAGGCTCCCCGGCATCCCTCCCTCCGGTCGGTGTTTTTTTCACATGTTTTGACATCCCGCCTCAGAACTGGGGTGCGGATCGCCAGTGCGGTAGGTCTGGGGCTAACCCTTCCTCCTCCCGGGGAGGGGGGGGGGAGGGGGGACTGCGCAGACAGCGGCACGACGACGGGTGACATCATACTAGTTTGCTCGTTTTTGTTTGGGGAGTTCTATCCACTCGTTCAGCTTTTGGTTGCAATTTTCACCAGAATAGGGGTTTGTTTTGGGACACCTACCTTTCTGGGTACCTAACCCGGTCGATGGCAGACACAGACTGCTTCCAATTACACGGGGATTTCTATAGGCCAGTGCTCCCCTTGCCCCTCTAGAGGGGGCTAGGTTCTGGCTCGTGGTCCCCGGTAGGCCCATAAGAACTCCATACACATGACTGATGCCAAAGTCTGACATTAGCATATCAGCCTAGTAAGCTCCGGGGAGCCTCTGGGGCTCACCCAGAAAATGGCGTTTCATTACATTCAATGCTGGTTTTATCATATGTGAATGTCTTTGCAGGGACAGAGTCCTCTTCACTGGGCTGCACAGCAGGGACATCTAGGGGCTGTTAATACTTTGCTTGATTTTCATGCTTATCCAAACTACACACAAACAACAAATGACAGGTGAAAAGTTTGATGCAATATGACATGTGATATATTGTACAATGTACCATTTTAAAACTTTGCTTGAAAGCTGCTCCCTATTTTCAGCTTTTATTCTCATTGATAATAATATATGGTGCTGTCATTGACTTTGGAATCAAACAAGTTTTAATGTAACTTTATTAAGTATCCAAATGTTAAAAAAACAGACAACTTTTGCAGTTAAACCATGAAATTTGTGTTTACCAAATGTTGTTATTGTTCTACTTTAGATTTTGGTAATTGTTGTACTGTAGTTTTCATTGACATTAATTGTTAGAAATTGGGAAATTTGATGCACTGGAGTATTCTTGTGTTTCTAATGAAGGTTTGGAGTCATTTTGATCAGCCAGGAACAAGATATTTTACATGAACTTGGGTGGAGAATCCACCAGTTTTTCTGTGGGGAGCCCCTACGGCTCGCTGGAACTATCGGGCTCATGTTTCCTCTGGGGACTTTATACTTTTGCGGGTTTTTTTTTTTATTGCCTGGTGGGGGGGGGGGGTCTGCCTGGTGTGGCTATAGTTCCACTTCTAATGTTTTGGTGGCCCTCTGCTAGGTCCTCATGATTGTATATATCGCAGGGGTTTTAGTGTTTTGATCTCCTCCTTGTTGGCTTTGGGTCTTAACCGATTAGCAACACCTTGCTCGGGCTTCCCGTAACAGTCAGCCTATGGGCCCTGGGAAAACCCTGTCTGGGCATGGTGGACATACGGATGAATCTTCTGAGTTCCATCCTGCCTCGTGTGGGTTTGCGGGTTGGGTTGACAATACCTTTGACCCGGAGTCTTGCGAGTCACGTTCTCTGCTTGTTCTCCAGTACTGTTCTGATGACATTACTGTTAGGGTACAGGCAGCATCTGCATTGCATGCTAGGTTCAGGTTCCTGCAACACACTAGGTTGGTTTCCCCACCCGGATGCCCCCGCGGCTGACCCGCTTTGATTATAGGGACTCCAGACCTGGGAGCGTTATTCGCTTCGACTTTGGTTCAGTCCGGGCTCCCTGGTCCTTTCCCTGTTGTTCACCCTGCCCCCCCCCCCCCCTTCCTGCTTCCGGCTTCTGAACGTCTGAGGGTTTCGGAGTCCAACCAACAGACCCTCTTCTATTCAGCCTTTTCCCTGGACTCTGTCTTTTCTTCGGGGTAGAGGGTATTGGGGGGACTGCTTTGCCCCAGGTCCCAAGTTGGGGGCTCACTGGGCTGGGGAGAAGTTGGGCCCCCTTGGGCCCACTTTGACTCTACTTGGGTGTTGGTGCCCTCTTTGCGGGGCTTGTTGTTGTAGGGGGGGGGTGGATTTCTTACCCTCCTTCCCTGTATGAGTATGATTTAGGGTTGGCTCCTCCCCAGGTTTGGTTCCGGGCTCCATTGGGTTCCTTGGCCCCATCCTTCCGAAGGTTTTTTGCCTCTCGTATCTTCCCTCGGGAGGTTCTTGTGGCATACTTCCTGCAAGACCCAGATTCTGCCTCCGTGATGTATCCGTCCTTATTTGAGTTTGGTTCTTCCCCATATTAGGTGCGTTTGGAGGTTACAGAGTCTTCCTGGCTAGCAGACTGCCCATTCTTTTCATTGGGGGCATGGCATGGGTTGTGACGGACTCACACTCTTGAGTGGTGAGAAACTTCTTCCACTCTGCAAGTTTACCTGGGGGGCGAGTTTGAGTGCCTTAATGCATATATGTTCACCCCTGTGCTTTCTCGGGATGTTGGCCTTGTGCACCTGCACGTGCAGGTTCCTACTCTTTCGGTGTCCACGGTTGCTGAGGATTTGTGAACCTGTAGGCATTTGGCTTCAGTTTTGTGCTTCTTTTTCCTTCTTGAGCTGTCTTCAGCCTTGCTTGAGGAGGATGTGGAGGCATCGAGTGCTGGGCCTTCATTTGATGTGCTGTCCTCGGCGGCTCAGGCGTCAGTTGTATTGTTGAAGCTATTTGCACCTATCCTGAAGGAGACGGTGTCTCTGTTTTTTGCTTCTCGCCTCGAGTGCTGTCAGGCTGTGCTTGCTTCTCTCTTTGGAATCCGCTTGGGCCCTGGCTCTTAGATTTTCATCGCCGTTTTGTCTGTTTCTGTTTGTGGAGTCTGCTGTCACATGGTTTCTGCAGGCGGCTTCATCTAGTTGTCGTCCTATGTTGGACTTGTTGGTTTTCCGGGGCCGCCGTTCTTGGTCTTCTCGGAAGGGTTGTTGCCAGGGCTCGGGGTTCCGCTGGTCGAGGTAGGCCATTGGTGCCATTTTCTGAGTCAACGTTGCCTTCGAAGCCGGTGTAGTCTTGTCAGCACGATGACAGCTCTGTTTGTGCGCCGGCTTCTTGTAAGGGGTGTTGGCCCTTTTGCGGTTCCCCATTGACGAGGCGATGGGGAGAGGCTCGTTCTGTTTGCTCGCACTTGGTCCCACAATTTGTGGGCATTTTCAGTCGTGTCATCCAGCCTGTGGTGTCGTTGGGCGGCTCCTTCCCCTTCGGGGGGTTCGGGGCTGGCTGGGCAGGCTTCTTCCCTTGAGCTTCGTTAGGCCATCTTAGAGTGGGTGTGCTTGGGCGTGGTTGAAACGACCCTGTCCCTCAGGTGGGTTTCACGCCTGTTTCCAGTGCCGAAATGGGACTGTGCGGATCTGAGGTTCATTCTGGACTTGTCCTGTCTGAACCCATGGATTCCTTGCCCCTCCTTACGGATGACTACTCTGTCTCAAGTCCAGCTTCTTTTGGAGCCAGGTGCCTGGATGGTGTCCATGGACTTCAAGGATACGTATTGGCACATTTCTATTCATCCAGGGTTCAGGGACTGGTTAGGTTTTGTGGTGGGGCGTCAGGCTTACCACTTTCGTTGCCTTCCTTTTGGCTTGAATCTGGCACCTCACATATTCACGCGTCTTACCCGGGTTGTGGTGACTCGTCTACGTCTGCTTGGGGTTCAGGTCCTGCCCTACCTCGACAACTGGCTGGTGTGGGCTCCCAGTCGGTCCGCTTGTCAGGGGTTTGATTCTTTCCCAGCTTGCCGGGTTTGGGTTCCTGGTGAACTGGAGGAAGTCCCATCTGCTTCTGTCCCAGGTTTGAACCCAGGTCACTCAGTGGTTGCTCGAACAGTTGTGCGGGAGTTTGAACTTCACTGTGCTGGTCTGCCCGCTGGGTCAAGTTTGGCTTCGCCATCTGTTCTGGTTCCTTACGCTTCTCTTGTGATCACTGGGTTCGTCCTCCGGGGGCCTTGCACCGGTTGCTGTGCAACCGGCTTCCTCTTTGGGGTTTTCGGGGTTCAGTGCCTTGCCACCTACCCGAGCCCTCACCTGATGTGGTCATGGACACGTCGTCTCTTGGCTGGGGCTTTGTAACCAGTGCTCACCAGGCTAGCCAGGGGTGATAGGATCCGTCCTTCTGTCGGGCTCACAGCACGGTTGCTAACAGTTTGGCTGTTGATTCGGAGGGTTCGGCTCATTCAGGGTTCGATCATCCAGCTCCATTTGGACTGTTCTCCGGTGGTTCATTGCCCGAACTGCGGGGGTTTCCTTTAGTCTGTGGCTCTTTGGGGCTGGTAGCTTCAAGTGGCTCATCTGCTGGCTTCTCGGGGTTTGGCTTTCTGTGCAGTTCATATCCAGGAAGTGTCCAAAGTCCTGGCAGATGGCCTTTCTCGGTTCATTCCCCTGTCCACGGAATGAACGGTCGACGCCGACTCCTTCAGTTGGCTCTGCCGAACATACGAACACACGGAGTGTGTACTTCTTCGCGTCGATGTGGTCTTGCCGTCTCCCAATCTATGTGGCGCCCTACCCCGACTGCTAGGCATTCACTGTGGATGTCTTTCAACAGAACTGGTCAATTTGGGGTTGCCTGTACTGTACCTCTTTCCTCCGGTCCAGCTGTTGCTTCAGGTTCTGGCTCAGTTGGAGTCCTACTAAGGGAGAGTAGTCCTCGTGGCCCCTTGGTGGCTGGCCCAGCCTTGGTTTCAGACGCTGCTTACTCCGTGTGCGAACCTGGGGCGTTTTCCGCTGCTCCGCCTCTCCCAGCAGGTCGGTCCGGTCCGGTGCACGACTGGTTCGGTCTTTTCCGCCACTCTTTGCATCTGGTCTTTTTGACGCGGGTTTATCACCATTTGTGGGTGATCAGGTGGCTCCGTTGATAGTGTCCCACCTGAGAGCTTTGTCTTGGCGACAGTATGAAGTTTCCTGGCGTTCTTTCTGCCATTTTCTCTCTCTTCATAGGTTGTCTTCTATGTCTGTTTGGGTTGTCTTGTCCTTTGTCTTGGCTTTTTCAGGACCGTCAACTGATGCCTAATACTGTTGCCTTGTATCGCACGGCGCCAGTGGAACCACTTCAGCTTGCGTTCAGGGTGGATGTCACTTCTGCCCATTCCATAAGCTTTCTCATGCTTTGTTTCACCTCCAGTCTGCTCATGCGCTGCATGAGTCATCCTGGTCCTTGGACAGGGAGCTCTCCTATTTTTCCTCTCCTTGGTTTGTGATGCCCCCTTCGGTTCAAGGATGTGCTTCCAAGGCCCTGTTTCTGTTGGCATTGCCATCTGGGGGTCGGGTCAGTGAGCTTCATGCTCTCCTCCAGCACAGGGGTTTCTGCTCTTTCAGTCCTGGTGGTCGGTTTGTTTGGGTGCAGCCTTCTCCTTCTCAGGCCAAGAACGAGACGGCAGCTTTCCGGAGGGGCCCTTGGGTCATTTATGCCTGGTTGGTCAGCCCGAGGGTGCATCATGTATTGTGTCCGGTTGTGGCTCTTCACCGTTATCTGTGTGCTTCAGGTACGGTGGCTGCGGATGCACTTTGGGTTGATCCAGTTTCCCTCATTCCCTGTTTCACCGCTCGGGTCTTCCAGGTCATCTGCAGGGTTATTAAGTCTAGCCTGCTTGTGGTATATCCTCATGCCCATGACGTTAGGAAGTTTGCTGCATTGGCTGCTGTGTTTGGCAACGTGTCTTGGCCTGATATTTGGGCATGGGGATTTTGAAGGTCAAACATGGTCTTGACCGCTCGTTATGTGGTTAAAGTTCCTGCTCCT